CTGCTGTCTTGCCCCCATTGGCCATCCCAACCCCATGGCTTCAGCACTTACGTCCATCTCACGAGTCTTTGATGCGCCTCACATCAATTGTGTATACCAGTGGCATTCACAGGATATGTTACAAGGGGGTACCCCCCCAAAATGGAAAAAAGCGCCGTTGGGCACAGCGTTCATAGAATGCCTTTTTTTCCCTGCTAGGCAGCATAGAGCAATTCGCTCTGAGTTAGTGCACCTAGTGGCATCACTTGGGAAGGTTCTCTCTGGTCACAGTAAATTTTTTTGTAAAAGCGGTTTCTCTCTAACTTTGTTTTTTTGTGATGCCTGATATAAGAGAACAGCGTGCAGATGTGTAATTTTGTTTCCTGCTCAGGAAAAATGCCGCAGAAACTGTTGTGATGTTGAATATAGCTTACAAGGACAGCACTATGGGAAAACTCTAGTGTAGGAGTGGTTTTCTTATTTCCAAAAAGCTGAAATGTTGATTGATGACAAACCTCATTCTGGATTTCCACTGACTTCCGGAATGAATGAAAATGTCGACAAAATTCATACACTTGTGCTTGAGGACTGATGACAGACCATTGAAGAGATGGGGAAGTTATCTGGACTATCTTGGAGCTCAGTTCAGTGAATTTTAACAGAAGATGTGGGAATGAGAAGGGTTGCTGAGAACTTTCTGCCTCAGGTTGTGACTGACCAGGAAAAAGGGCGTTGAGTGGAAACATGCGGTGGTTAGAAATACTAGCTCCTAATTGACCCAGACTTTCCCCCCAAGGTCATTACTGGTGTGGATACATAGTGCTGTTTTTACAACTTCAAACTATACATCAATCAAGTCAGTGGAAGATGCCATCGTCACCTTGCTCCCCCAAAACTCGTCAAGAGAAATCAAAGATCGAGATGATGTTCATTTGTTTTTTGATGTGAAGGGGATAGTGCATTTGGAGTTTGTTGCACCAGGTCAGACTATTCATCAAGTTTTCTATTTAGAGCAGTTCTCAACCTGTGGGTCGGGACCCCTTTGGGGGTCGAACGACCCTTTCACAGGTCGCTTAAGACGATCAGAAAACATATTATTTCTGATGGTCTTAGGAACCGAAACACCACTCCTTTATCTGTCTCTAGGCGGGTCCGCCCACATGTAGATACGCCCACCTATGAGTACCCAATGTTAAGACTGTTACCCATGCTACACCATGCTTCAAGACAAACTTTCATTGATTTGTCACTAGGTATAAATAGTTCACAATAATGACATATTTTGTGATGATGATGCTTTAATTATGTTCAATTTGTAACAATGAAAATACATCCTGCCTATCAGCCATTTACATGACGAGTAGCAAAATGACAGTGATGAAGTAGCAACAAAAATAATTTTATGGTTGGGGGTCACCACAACATGAGGAACTCTATTGAAGGGTTGCAGCATCAGGAAGGTTGAGAACCACTGATTTAGAGGTTCTGAAAAGATGGCATAACAGTGTCTGACAAAAAAGGCTGGATTTGTGGCAGACGGGACTGGTTTTGCCATCATGACAATGCATCTGCTCACGAAGGCATCTCAGTGTGTCGGTTTTTGGCAAAAACCAGCATGCCTCTCTCGCCCCATGCACCTGCCTCACCTGACCTCGCTCTGTGCAACTTCTTGTTTCCGAGAATGCAGAGGAACACGAAAGGACAGCGACTTGTCTATGTAGAAGAGGTGAAGAAAAAAAATGGAGGTGCTGTCAGCCCTCTAAACAGGTGAGTTTGAAAAATGTTTCCAAGTATGTAATCACAGATTTGACAAATGCATTAAGTGTAATGGAGAGTACTTTGAAGGTGGTAAGGTTGTTTTGTGAAAAAAATTATATACATAGCTTTGGGGGGGTGTCCTTTTTTCTGGGGGTATCCCCTTGTAGATCTCTTGTAGTTCATACCCAGAACTATCAAATAGAGCCAAAATATTTTTCTTTCTACAGAGGAGATGAGGTCAGCTGAAGAGAAGCTATTACATCAAAGGTTGTAGCCCATGAGGTAGCAGCTCATCAGCCTGGCCTTGAACGCTGGAGCTGGACTGGTGCCCCCTTTTGCACCTGCAGCTCCAGTTCGCCTGGACTGTTTCTTTTGGCCTCTCGAGGTCCTCTCTAGGAGAGAGGTGAGGCTTTCTACTCCTATAAAGATTTGCAGTCTTGGAAACCTACAGGGGCAGTTCTACTCCATGCTGTAGGGTCGCTCGGAGCTGGAGTCGGATGGATGGTAGTGAGTAGGTCCCCTCGGTCTTGCAAGGCTCAGTTGACGGCTTTCTACTCCTCCCCTCTGGAGCTCTGGTGGCATTGTGAGTTTGGGGCTGGGCTGCAGTCCAAAACCACCTGACTCTCCGAGGGAGAAAGAAGAAGCCGCTGCCTGCGCCCGTAAAGATTTACAGCCCTGGGAAACCTCAGGGGCAGCTCTCCACTGCCCTCCAGGGTTGCTATAAATTGGAATAGATTGGAAGGCAATGGTTTTTTGTTTTTGAGTTTATTCCTCGCCTACTTCTTCTTCCCCGAGTTTTCCAGCCCTTACTGATCTGCAGCTGCTCCATCTCCAACCCTCACTGGCTTCAGGCTTTGGGGTCAGGGCTGTGTCCTGTGGCCAAGCTGTGGCCTGTTCCCCGGGCCAGCCCCAGGTCCCAGTTCTGGCTCTCTCCTGGTTTGGCATCTGTCCCCAAGCCCGCTCTGGACCTGGTATCCATGCCTTTGGTCTAGACCAGAGGTGCTCAACCTGTGGGTCGCTACCCTTTTCACAGGGGTCGTCCGATTCCTCACAGTAGCAAAATGACAGTGATGAAGTAGCAATGAAAATAATGTTATGGTTGGGGGGTCACCACCACATGAGGAACTCATTAAAGGGTCTTGGCATGAGGAAGGTTGAGAACCACTGGTCTTGACATTCCCCTGTGCTGACCACTACCCCATCCATCAAGAAAAACCCCAGGACAGGCTGCATTTAATGTACTGTGAATTGTGTTGACACAGGCTTCTCCCTCTTCCTCATGGCTGGGATACTTCAGGCCATGGCCCTGTCCTCAGTTTCTCCACCTTTGCCCGGGCAACTTAAAAATGGTCCTTCAGGAAAGATCTAGGAAGGGAAGGTATGGATAGAGGTATAAACATAAGTGTAAATATATTAATCCATAAAAAGAGAGGTATTAGCCTATGTACATATATTTATGGGGCAATACAGTGAGGTAATAGATGGACTTTGGGCCTCTGTTCAAACCCTGCCTCAACGCAAAAACACTTTGTCCTAACAACCTGGCATTCTGTGATGCTCACCCTTCCGGCACAATTGTGAAAGACAAACAAAATGGGTGCATAAGCAAATGTGGTGAAGAAAGAGGATGGTGCCCGGCTACCAAAAGATAGAGCATCTGGGATCTTAAAGGCTTGAAGGTAAACAAGCGGCCATCTAGCTGAGAAGCAACAAAGCCCACA